TTAAAGGTAGGGTTGCACAGCCAATTATTATAATTGCTGTTAATAAGTTGTACAACTGTAAAAAGTTGAACTGGCAAAAGCTGTGTGATAGATATATTTACAACAACTACAAAAAAAAAAAAAAGGTAGCTGCTGAGGTTGCTTATGTACAACCAAACACTTCATGGATTTGGTTCCTTAGTTTGGAGGTTTAGGGTCATGGTTTCATGGGACATCCCAGTTAATTGGTCTAATAACATGTTCAGTGCTTCTGTTCTACCTCCTAGTTTGATGCATAGTGCCTGGGGTCTTAAAAACTTGCAAGTAGCTATCCAAGGTACTACAATTGGTCTCTATTCACCTGGAGCAACAGAGGAAGGAGGAGTGTCAGGAAGAGGACGAGGAAATGGAATGTGTGGCTAATTGCCTCCGTGAACAGCTGCCTCCTTTGCCATGAGAGCAGAAGAACTAGATGATGCCCGGTTACCATTACTGAACACTTTGAGCATAGATTCCATAGAAGAATCCTGATCAAAAGGGGGAAAATATAGAACAGAATTTCAAATTCTCATGGACTCTAAACTTTCTGGAGTCATGGAGGGTGAATGAACCCTTGAAACTATTGCCCTGAGATAATCTTTAAACCTTAAACCAAAAATATCCCTTGAAGTCATCTTAAAACCAAACAACTGTTTAGCTGAACTAGTAAAAAACGTCTGCCTTAAGCATTACGCTCTTTAAGAACTATCTATATGGGATCAAATTGACAACAGCAACTCGAAAGATTAGATAGGAACCTTAGGGGGCAGTGAGTTTATGTTAGTGAGGGAGGTACAAGTAAGAAAAGGACAGTAAGAATGGTTGCACAACTCAAAATACATCATCAATCACTAAATTGTACATGGAGAAACTGTTTAATTGGTGTATGTTTTGTTGTGTATATTTTCAACAACAACAAAATAAATAAAATTTAGGAAAAAAAACCAACATTATCATTCACTGTTTAGGAAGCACTGAATATCTGTTTATGGTGAGGGAAAACTTGGCAACAGACACTGGTGACTGCACAACATGATTAATGTAATTGGTGTCACTGAACTGTACATGTAAAAAATGTTGAATTAGCAAATGTTGTGTTACATATATTTTATAACAACAAAAAAACAAAAAGCATTATCATTAAAGATGGAAAGACAGGTTGAAACTCAATTACAGAAGGCCTTGAATGAATATGACTAAGGAATTTACACTAAGTTTTATAGGTAGCGGCAAGCCAAAGTTTTGTGTAGGGAATGATTTGGTAAATTAGGCTTTAGAAAGATAAATCCGGCAGAAAGGCAGAGCATGGATTGATTGCAGGGGAAACACTGAAAGTTGGGAAGCTAGTTAGGAAAGCTATCACAAAAGTCCAGACACACAATAAGAATTTAAGAGTGATGATAATCGGAACACAAAGTGCCAGATGAATGAGATAAGACAGGCAGATTCCAACAGGGATTTAGTTACTAAATAAAGTGATGGGAAAGGGCTGCAAAGGAAAAGGGAAGAGTCTAAAAAATAATTTTAACTCAAGTAACTAGGAGAACCGAAAGTACCAATAAGAAAAATAGTCACAAAAAGGGGCTTCATTTAGGAAGAGAATTTTACATTCTGGTTAGGTTTGAGGTGATGCCATAAAAGTCAAATAGCATGCAAAATATACAGAGATGCAAGACTGAAGCTCATTCACCAATCTAACAAAGACTTTCAGTGGGAAAGAGGACATACCAGCATGTATTAATACACCCAAGTAACACCTACTTGTCTTTAAAAACTGCTTTAGCTTAGCAGTCTTTATTCTAGCAGAATGGATAGAGGCTGTGCCTTGGAGACTCTATTAAATACAAACATAAAAGAAAAGATGTCCTCCTCTGAGGCATCCCAAAAACCTGGTTACAATAAAAAGCAAGCATTACCACCACCTATTTTATTCATCTTATAACACAAACAAAACTGCAACAGCTCCAGTGCCCCAATGGCACCCTGATAATCCTATAATATTCTAACTCCATATATTCTAAGATACAAGGCTAATTTGTTCAGCTTGTTTTCCATACATACCTGAAATGTTACCAAAGAAATTTTGTATATGGTTTTTATTTTCAGAATTGCTAGTACTTTTTGCATGCTTTTTTCACTGAATAATAACATACATACAGAAGAGTATATAAGCTTGATGAATTTTTCCAATGTGAACACACCCATGTAACCAGTACCCAAATCAACAAACAGAACATTACTAGCACCCTAGAAGCCCCCTTCATGCCCTCTTCCACACATCCCCCACCACCACCAAGAGTAACCGATCTCCTGACTTCTGACACCATAGATGATTTTTGCCTGTTTTCCAAATTTACGTAAATGGAATCATAGAGTATGTACTCTTTAGTGTCTAGGTTCTTTTGCTCAACATTGTATTTGTGAAATTCGTAGTTGTAGTCTATAGTTTATTCGTTCTCATCACTGTTTTAATATCCATTGTGCAGACGTTCCACAACTCATTTAACTATTCTATTTCTGATAGGCACTTGGATCATTCCAGTTTGGACTATTATAGATAGCCCTGCAATGAACATTTTTGTTCATGTCTTTTGGTGAATATGTATGTGTTTCTGTTATGTATGAACGTAGACATGGAAATGCTCGGTCACAGGGTATGTATGTGTTCAACTTTAGTAAATAACTGGTGAACTTTAAAGGAAAAAATAATTTAAAGTCTTTACAGGAAAATGTGAGAAGCCCTGGTGGCACAGAGGTTAAAGTGCTCAGCTCCTAACTGAAAGGTCAGTGGTTCAAACCCACCAGCTGCTCCCCAGGAGAAAGATGTGGCAGCTTTTGTAAAGATTTACAGCCTTGGAAACCCTATGGGGGCAGTTCTATTCTGTCCTATTGGGTTACTATGAGTCAGAATCGACTCGATGGCAATGGGTATAGGGAAATGTGAATGATTAATGATTAACCAGAACGTGCTGACTTCAATGACTACTCTCTGAAGGACAAACATGTTGAAATAGGATAGTTAATCCACTTCACGCAAAGAAGGTAATATACTTTAGAATATTTTCACCAGCAATTTAGCATATGACACTTTTAATAACAGAATTAACCAAGTTTGTCTTGTCCTTTCAGAGAGTTTATTGGAATTGATGAAACAAACAACTGAAGAGCCATTGCCATCAACATGGTAAAGTAAGGACTTCTTCAACATGTTAACGGAGAATATCAGTGTTACAAACCAGAATTCTGCAGCAGTTAAGCCTGTTTAGCTACTCATTTAATCAGCTCTTGGAAACTGAAAGAGACCAGAATTAGTCTAACCTTCAGGTGGTCACATGAATGCCTTCTACATCAACGAACATGTTAAATAAAAATTCATTTAATCCTGGAACACAGAGAGGACATCAGGCAACAATGAAGAAAATCTAAATAAAGTATGGACTTTGGTTAATAATAATGTATCAATATTGGCTCATTAATTGTAACAAATGTACCATACTAATATAAAATGTTAATAATATGGGAAACTAGAGGCGATGGGGAAGGGAAACGCATGTAGGAACTCTGAACTACCTTCCCAATTTTTTCTGTAAATCTAAAACTGTTCTAAAATAAAAAGCTTATTTTAAAAAATCCATTTAAAACTCTGCAACATAATCTACAGACTGTAATACATCTGCTAAACTCCCTTCAGAATGCAACCCAAATGCACTTTAAAAGCCAACAGACAGACACACAAACACACACACACACACACACACACACACACTTTCCATCTATGGGCTTAAACATAGATACATGAGGGAACAGTCTATTTATGCCAATTTTACTTTTGCTCCTACATATAAAATTACGAACAAGACTCAGATTCCCCTTTTTATTCCATCTAACCTCTCCCAGTATACACTACAAGCACTTAATGATTCATTAAGAAGCAATGCCCCAAAGTTTTCTTCTAACAATAAAATAAAAGCATCCAAATTGCAGGTATGGTCAGCTCTAATAAATTATATCTTAGTGGCTTAAATTATTGAGTCTTTGTTTTAACTTGAGAAAAATGGAAAATAAATAGACATTCCTTACAGCTAGTTGAGAAAACAAGCAGACCTTAAATGGTGTGAGACTTAACAGAAGGAACCCTGGGCAAGGAGGCAGGAGACCTAGTTTCATCTCTAACAGTAATTTGCTCTGTGATCACTGGACATTTCCCCGAACTTCTCTGGTCCTCAATTTCCATGATCTCAAGTTCCTTTTAACTATAATATTCGTTCTATGAATCAGGAAATCCTTTCATTATCACTTCTTTGGCTATGACAGATATCCTATTGAAATTTTTTATCCTTATCTGTTCTATAAAATCTTTAGAGAGTCTAGAAAGAAAATAATATCCTGCCACTGAATGAACACCTACACCCAGTGAGAAGGAAAGGGAAGAGAATATAATGAGTGTAAGAAAAGATAAAGAAATTGAACTGCCGTCCTAGCTTTCCATTTCATTAACCCTGCATTAGTAATCTCACCACTATATACTGCAAATATTTACTTGATGGTCAGCAATAAGACACAGATCTTGGCTTTCTCATTAGAGGACTATTTGAAACCAACTGTGCTTCCTGAAAACTTTAAGTTTGGTTCTTCTATAGCAGGAGTTGGCAAACTTTTCTTAAAGGGCCAGCAAGTAAATATTTAGGCTTTGTGGTTCATACAGTGTCGCAAAAACTCGGTCACTTAGTGCAAAAGTAACCACAGACTATACGTAAATGACTGGTTGTGTCTGTGTTCCAATAAAACATTATTTACAAAAACAGGCAGCAATCCAGGCTACAGTTTGCCAACCTCTGTCCTACAGTATTGGGCTGGTGGGGGCGGTGGGGAAGTCAACTGACAGGATAGGTTGTAAAAAAACACATCATGAGTTAACACTAAAATAAATTTTGCTTTGTTTTGCAGGGAGAAAATGCTAATGAATCACGATCTTCACATACCTGAGAATGTTCAAGTTTCCCTTGCGTGAACAGGTCATATCACCAATACCTAAGACAGAGCAGGAAAACACTCTCCCTTACATGGTTGTTATGACATAACAGGGGATGTGTTAATTTATACAGGCAAAATTTACAACGTGACCTGCAAAAGTAAAATACCAGGTTTTAGCAACTTAGTGATAAACAGAGAAATCCAAATCTGATTAATGCCAACTATCACTTCTTCCATACATTAAGGCAAACTAATTCAGATAAATGTCAAGGCTTTCCCAGAAGAGCTATTCTGTCTCTATACTACCCAACTGGTTCGGACCAGCAGACCTTTGCCCATCCAAAACCTGGCAAGTTTCCAGGAGGCCAGAGTAACTGTTTGGGCTAACACGGAAGTTCTGATTCATTCTGGGATGGGATAGGGGGATGCTCACCAATATAAATGGTCCAAGTCAGGCCAAGATCAGATCTACCATCTCTTAGGATTCATCCTAGTAAAAATGTTTCATTCTGGAATAGTCACCTCACTAAATGCAGCCCCATGTTAGCTACCAGGTGTTCAACAGCAGGCTGGAGCAAAGAGTTGGCCCACAAGGATCAAGCAAGTGCCTTTTTAAAAACTAATCTTAAAACGCTTCTCTACATGGCTTTGCAAAGTAAGCAAAAACCATGCCAAATAGTAAAAAAGGCACTTACTTGACTCCCACAGGCCAGCTCCACACTCTAGCAGCTAAGATGTCACTGGCATGGTACATGGAGAGTGAGGTAGAAACAATATCTTGCCAACCACTGTAGGAATAGTAGTGAAAGACCTAAAAGAATAAAAAAAGTAAAGTCAATGTCAAAGGTTAAGGCCCTTCTGAGCCGGCTGACATGGGTACCTCATATAATGCCAAAGAAGGAAAGAAGTCTGGAGTTTGTTTTTGATTTGTTTAGGTCATGCTAAGGATTATATGACCCTTAAGACAAGAAGGCACTTCAGATTTGTAGCCTCAAATAAATCCAGGTTGATTATGAGAAACTCTGAAATATAACCATCTTTTTTCAGAGAAAGAAAGTATTGAATCTTTTATAACCACGTGGTAACCTGAAATAGATGTAAAAAAAGGGGGATCTGAAGCAGCAATTCACAAACTTTTAAAATACATTTAAAGAAGGGAAAACAATTTATTCACTTCATCTCCATGCTTTCAATATAGGGGGAGATAGAACCCTAGTAAACAATAAAGAAAGAAGAAATAGTCTAAGAAATTTAAGGTAACCCTGACAACAGAAGTCTTGGGGTATCCAGGTTTATTCAGTAACTTCCAGAATATGTTTCAGAAACAAGTTTACAAAACTTAGAAATTTTGGTGCACTAAAAAATCCCATTCATTTACCTAACCACCTAACTCTCTGGTCTAGGGGCCCTGTTTGAAAAATGCTCAACTCTTGGCAAACTGAATAGGAGATCATTCAAAAACAAGAACAACAATAAAAGATCCCTTTCACATACCACTGCTTCCTTTCCCCACACCTACACTATTTATGGGTAAAATAATTTGTGGGGGGAAAAGAAAACAAAACAAACTTTACCGTTAGCAAGAAAAGCAGCAATAGTGAGAAAATAAAAAACATGTTTAATTAGCAATACCGTCTCTCCTCTTTCTTCCTAATCATTCCTACCAAAAAAAAAAAAAAAAATCTTTACTGGTAGGCCCATTCAACAGTCTTTCACTCAGATCCACAATGAAAGAAACAAACAGGCAGCTAAGTTTAACCAATCTTGAGGCGCTGGAATCTACCCAAGAAGAAAAAGTAAAGACAATTGAAGTTTTCATTCTAAATAAGTTTTAGCCAAAAGACTATTCTTACCCTAGCCCCTAATTCTAATATGCTTAAAGTTGGGCCACCTTTTTAATGGACAGTCTGGTGATTCAAATTGTCCAGGTCCCAATCAATTTAATTAAAACAGTACACTTACTGTTAACAGCCTATCTGGCTGGACTACATCTTGGGTACCTAACTAACATTTTCTTCTTAATTTTGGCTTGGGTTCCGCTTGCTTTGAGCTAAAGTCCCTGGAAAGCATCCCATTTATTAGTGTTTCCCTTGCTGCCTCAGCATTTCTGGTTAATGCACTAGAACAGATCATTTGGCGGGACAACCTGAATGAAGCTCAGCACTGTGTATTCTGCAAAAACGCTCAAACCATTATCAAGGATGCTGCAAAGGAAAGATAAAAGAATGAAATTGGGAAGAAAAAAAATTATTGGGGATTTCCTTTTAAAAAGAATGACTACAAAGTAAGAACATACACTGACAAATACATATTTATTTCACATCAACTGCCTACCTCAAAAAGCAGTCCCCCTCCACCCCTCCCTCCATACCTAGACTTTATTTTTCCTTTGCTGCATAAAATCACGACCTAATTCAGGACCAGTCTTTTTACCATATAAGACACATATCCTTTTACTAAATAAAGCAGATAGTCCCCAAATTGCAAATTATTCCAAAATACATATCCAAAGAAACAATAAATTAATGTCATCAAGTTTCCAACCACAGCTTGTTTGCACTTGTAAAATATGAGAATTCTGGAAGAGTAAACCAAGCTTTTGCTGCACAGCTCTATTCTTCATGAGCTTGCTGTATTACAGCAGATGCTGTCCTGAATTTTGCCCAAGACAACCTCCATCTGTGTAATGAAACATTACTCTTCTCTGCCTTCTCTGGGGAAGTAGAAAGGGTTTTCCCAGGAATACGATAAACGAGGACATTCCACACCAAAAAAGGAAACTGGCTTTTTTGAAAGTCAAAACAACATTCCTAGTGACATAAGTTATTCCTCTTTACCGTCCCCTGAAAATATTCAGCTAAAAAGACTTGTAGTCAGCAGAATAGTTAAAATACATGGAATAGAGAATGAAAACCACAGAATCGTTAAAAATCTAGGAACCAGAACCACATATATCAACTACATAAATATTAAAAAAGAAAAAAAGATTAAGCAAAAGGAATAAATTGTAGGAGAATACATACAGTGTAATACTTTCTAAATAAGATTTTAAAACATGATTACAATACTATATAATGTTTACACATGCATATATACATAGCAAAAGCATAACCACATTCATGGGAATTAAAAAAAACCCAAACCCTTTGCCATCAAGTCAATTCCAACTCATGGCGAACCTACAGAACAGAGTAGAACTGCCTCCGTAAGATTTCCAAGGCTGTAATCTTTACGGAAGCAGATTGCCATATCTTTTTCCCCTGAAATGGCTGGTGGGTTCCAACCGCCAATCTTTCAGTTAGCAGCTGATTGCTTAACTACTGCACCACCAGGGCTCCTTGCATGGGAACAGTAAACACCAAATTCAAGAGAATGTTATCTTTAGGAGAGGGCACACGAAATAAGACTAAGGAAGAGTACTTGGGGCAGTAATTATAGTGTTTAATTTCTCAAGTTAAAGGGCATACATTATGTTATTCTACTTGTTTTTATATGCATGACACACTCATAATTAAAACAAGAAAACACTTCTCCCCTTGTATGTTTGACTGGACACAATGTAATTTCCTTAAGAAGGATTACAAAAAACAAAACAAAATCCACTGGTGACGGACTGGCGTTTACAAGTGAAGGCCTTTGAAAGTGTGCTCGTCAGCAGTTGTCTTCTGCCTTTTCTTCGGCTAGCTAGTGCTGTCACTTTCTCATGCTGGCTGTGATGTGACCTTCGGACCCGTAACGCAGGGTCTCAGCGTGTGTTTATTTTAATCTTACCAAGGATACTCATTTTAGGTAAGAAATCCATTATATTCCCCTTTTTATTTTCCCCATTTATTGCTAAAAGCTCCAGCAGTCATTAAAGAAAACCATTATATATTTAAGCTCTTCCAGCTTTGTGGCACTTGGCCACACTAAGAAATGATTTCATTCTGAATCAAACGCAAGTGCAGAATGAGATATTAAAATTAAAGAAAGCACTGATGAGAGTTCAGTTCTGAATTTAGTAAATGAACATTCCAAAATTCTGTAATATGTTATACCACAATTCTGTTTTACTACATCAACTGTGCTTAGATGACATTTTGTTTTGAAGCTTAAATCAGAGCTGGAATTCAAAAAAAGATTTCATTTTCATTAGGTTATAATAAGAACAAAAGTAAAGAAACAAAATCCAAGTATTAACATGCAAACATACAATGTCACACATTCACACAAAGTATACCTTTGGAGCCGCCTCTAAAAAAAAAACCACCACCACCAATTCGTGGTCAAAAAACTCATTTTTCCTGCTATTTAGCAGCTTCTAGCACCAGCACTCAAAGATCAGGGGAAGAAGGGCAAAAAAGAGAGAAACCAACAGCCAGAGAGACAGGTCTAAGTTAGTATTCTGGTGTTTACAAAAGAAATGTAATTCCACCAAAAGCAAATCAAAAACCTTCTATCTTCTCATTTGGTTTTTACTACTTCTTCCATTCACACAATCTATCTTTAAATACTTTTTTAAAGTATTCTGACACCTATACTATCTTTTTAAATGAAAAATAGATTTTTATCACAATTGGCCTCTTGCCATAGCTCTGCTTCATGGCAGCTAGCAGAATTCTGGCAGTGTAAAATACAGGATACAGTGGGGGCAGAATGGAAATATGGAAGATTAGTTCTAAAATAAACACCTCCAAAAATCTGTCACCTTTGGAAATATGCATCAGTAAGGAAATTAGAGTTGGCAGCACCTCTTTCAAATAGTTCCTTTCTCTCTTCTGCAGTCCCCCATCCCACCAAACACTTGCCAAGGTAGATGTCATTGTGTCAATATCTTAAATTACTTATAATAAGACTACCATCTTTCTCCATCACTATTTTTACTTAGCATTTTATATATTTCTGCTTGTTTCAGCACGATCTGTGAACACTTTTAAGACTATTAGCTGTTGCCTGTATCAAAGTAATTCCTTCTTGACGTTTCTGATTCCATCACTGTAGTATCTAGGCATAGAGAACAAGATGATTTATATCTGTGTCATCTACAGGGTTGAAGGATTCAGACAATGGTCTCTAGGACTTTCTATCTCATTAATGCTCATTCACCCAATACTGACTGAACGCCTATGTTCTTGACAAAGTACTAGGCTCAGGGAACATAAAGTAGTTCACAGAGTTGGGAGAACAGACTACTATGACAACCAACCACTTGGTAAGGCTTTCACACTTTTCACACCCAAGATTCTTGTAGTGTGACTACAAAGGAAAAGAGAAACACTTTCTGTTTCAAGCTGGTCGACCAAAATTCAGAATTAACAAATTATTACAGTAGCTGCATCCTACCTCAACACTCCAGCCCTGCTTTTTCCTTCTGCACCTCCCCAACTCTCTTTGCTCCCCATAACATCTTCTTCACCTTTTCGCCTCCCCCTCAGCAGTTTGGACTGGAGAAAAGATGGAGACAGATGGGACTAAAGAAATAATGAATTGTTAACAGAAATGCAAGGCAAATTGTTCATCAAGATGTCATCAGACTGCTCATCAATTGTTCATCAGACTGTCCTAAAAAGGAACTGGAAGGCTATTTTTCTTCACTTCAAGGCTTTGACCCTTGTGAAAATAAATATATTATGCCTGGTGTGATGGTTAAGGTTACGTGTCAACTTGGCTAGGCCATGATTCTCAGTGGTTTGGCAGATATTATATAATCATCCTCCATTTTGTGATTTGATATGAGCAGCCAATCAGTTGAAAGGGGAGTTTCCTTGGGGGTGTGGCCTGCATCTAATATATACAGATGTCCAGCAAAGCTCACCCTCTCTGGATCCTGCATCTGATTCATCATCCTCTGACCTCCAGTTCTTGGGACGTGAACCAACAGTCTGCCGTCTGACCTGAAGATTTTGCGATTCACCAGTTTCCAACGCCCCATGAGTCAGCAACCTGCCATCTGACCTGCCAATTCTGGATTTGTCAGCCCCTGCAACCACGAGTCAGAAGAAACCTCTAGCATGATGTCTGACCCACAGATTTGAGACTTCCCAGCCTCCACAACTGCATGAACATCTCCTTGAAATAAATCTCTCTATATATATACATATATACATATATGTGTATGTATACACTTCACTAGTTTTGCTCCTCTAGAGAACCCAGCCTAAGACATCTGGTACTGAGAGTGGTTCTAGAGGAACAAAATCGTAAAGACGAGTTTTCTGAATCGGTTCTCAAGTCCGGCTATTCTTAAAGGCGCTGATGACTCTGCCTCCGGTAGTATCCATAGTATGAGGTGGCAATAGAAATACGCAACATATCACCACCAATGGATCAAATATTTCTGAGAAACAAGGCTCTGGGTGATTGCATATTTGATACTTTTCTAGAATTTTGTCAGAATGAGTAGTATAGGGAGGCTGGTCGGTTGGTCCTGCTTTCACTAGACAAAGTGGTGAAAGAAAGAGATGAGCTTAGGGGCGTCAGAGTCAAAGCTCAAGCACCACATAAAAGAACTGAAAGTTGCCTCTTGTATCCTGAAAGAAAGCCTTAGTTCTTGTAGTAACAGAGCTGATATTGCTGAAAATCAAACCCAGAGTCTTATCATACGGGTGGCTGAATTACAACACCAACTGAATTCCCAATTCGAAGTTAAAGTGAGCTCACTGACTGGGAAGAAATGGGATCCTGAAAACTTGGGATGGGGACATACGGGCAGATAATCAGAAAGATGGGGACACTGAACCCTGAATTCCATTAAATCACTCCTGCCAACAGAACCAGCCCTCTTACTCCAGTCTGAAGATATTGCTCCATCTTTGTCTGCTAAGCCACTCTCACCAGTAAAGCCATTAACCCTTCTACCTGATGAGATTAACCCAGCTGTACCTGAAGAGTCTTTGGCTGAGATATCACCTGGGCAGCAACTAGGGCATTGCCTGAGGCATAGAGTGAGGCAGATGCCTTACAAGACATTGTTTATCACTTGGACCCACCCCCACCACTCATTTTTGCTTCTAGATCTATAACCAGACTTATGTCCCAGAGAGCCCCAAGAGGTGAGGTACAAAGTGTGACCCAGAAGGAGGTATGCTACATTCCAGAAGAACTGCTTGATTTTTTTCTAATATATATAAACAGAAACCTGGGGAATATGTATGGGGATGCCTATTAAGGGTATGAGATAATGGTACAAGGAACATAAAGTTGGATCAGTCTAAGTTTATTTATATGGGCCCACTAAGCACAGATTCTTCAGCTCAAGAGCTTAGAAAAGGATATAATAGTTTATTTGGTTTATTGAAGCATGGATTAAATGGTGGCCTACACTAAATCAAGTTGAAATGCCAGACCTACCTTGATATACTGTAGAAGAAGGTATCCAAAGGCTTAGGGAAATTGGCATGTTAGAATGAATTTATCAGGTTGGATCCAAAGACCCACCCATGGAGTGCCCGCAGGACATACCTTTTACCACAATGGAGAAGAACAAATTTGTGAAGGGAGCCCCAGCATCCTTGAAGACTGCTGTGATTGCTACTTCATGTAAGTCACATTTGACAGGGAAACTGCACTAACTGACTTAAGACACCTAACCATAACAGGGCTGATTAGACCTGTGGTAGTAGGGGCCAAGTGGTGGCACTTAATCAACAAAGACAAGGCTGGCATGGTTACTGTAACAGACAGCAGAGTCAAAGCAGTAATCAGAATAGTCTGACATATATGGACTTACGGCACTGGTTACTTAGTCATAGTGTCCCTAAGAGTGAAACAGATGTGAAATCTACCAAATGTTTACTTGATCTGTATAAGTGGAAGAATTCTAGGTGAGGTGAATGGCAGTGGTTTGGCACCTGAATCGCCAGAATAGAGAGTCATGGCCCTTCAATCAATTCCCAGACTGAAGCCACAACCCCCTGAATGAAGGGAAGGCCAGGTCACCTTGAGGAAGGACCTGCTGCACTGCCAAAAATTTATACTGTTAATCTTTCTCTCAGCCTTCCCCAAAGGGATCTACAGCCTTTTATGACAGCAATCATTCATTGGAGAAAAGGAAATAATCAGACTTTTTGGGGATTACTGGACACTGGCTCTGATCTGAAACTAATTCTAATAGAACTAAAATATCACTGTGGCCCACCAGTCAGAGTAGGGACGTATGAAGGTCAAATTATTGAGTCTTAGCTCAGGTCTGTCGCACAGTGGGTCTAGGGGGTGCCTGAACCC